GTCTATATCATTGGAAACAACTTTTTCTATTCCTTACACTTCAATGCAAGTCCTCTCTCTTGGCTATGAATTTCTCTTTAAGTTCATAATAAATGAATGAAAATAACATCAAATAACTTATATTTAGAATAAATGAATTTTCCGAGAAAACCAGAATTGCCTCAAATTATATAAGAATTTTACTTAATATTTATGACAAATATTCTCATAAATATAGTCAGTATATTGTCAAGTGTATCATAGCTTATGTTTGAGATTCTACAGTACATCTCTGTATTAAGACTGCAATTAATGTATTATTGAAATAAAAATTATAAATAAAATTGACACTCAATAGTATTTGAACACTAAATAAACAGACAAGAGCAAATGTTATTGATTGTTAGTACTTGGTTTAACTGACTTAAAAAATAATTCACAGAAATCATTACTTTTATTACTTATTTTTTACATTTTCTAATTAATTTAAACTTTTCTATAATAAGTTTTCTTATTTCCAACTCATATAAAATAAAATTGAATTTGTGTATGGGTTTTGAGAATGTCATTACAAATGTTGTAATATGGCCATTTATGGCCATCCTGCTTTTTCTATGCTCATACTATTAAAGTATCTCATTCAATTTAATTATTGGAGTTAAATTTAATATAAAAATTACTTGCAGTTCACCAAATTGTCGATTTCACTACCCTTTAGGTATGAGAGGCAGTAATTAGTGAATATGTTGTCAATTCTTTAGAAATAATACAAATGTTGTAAACGATTTAAATTGAATGCACACAAAATAAAAGCATCAAGTAACTTAATGAATATCTGAAATGTGATTCATCATAGCACCACATTTACTTAACTCATAGCCAGAAGTTATAAATAGAAATATGATTCAACATTTGGTATCATTGGTTGCACAGAAAGGGGTGAACTATTGAATTTTGATCACTTGTATAAAATTGGAGACAGAATAATTGATAATAATTGATAAACCATTAGTGATTGGCAATACAGTACTGTACAAGTGAAACCCTATTCTAATTATGAGATACCCAGCAATAATAAAATCACAATACGGTATATATTCTAGAATCTACATGTAGATCATCTGTCATCGCATTGATACAATAAGCCCATTGCCTCAATATATTAACAAATATTATAAAGTACCAGTATAAATAAGTAATTTCTCAAATATAGGATTACCGTATGATGCAGTCATTTATAGATTGGAAAAAGTAGAATTTATTTTTAAATATTTTTAATGACTAATAATGATATGAATAAAAGAAAATAACAATAAACTCGATATTAAATGAGAAAACGAGTTATTTCTCCTCAGATATAATAGATTTGGTTCTTTCGGATTCGTATCCAATAGTTCCCGGCTTAGAGTGAACGCGACGATTGGCTTCTTTGCGTTTTTCTGCGCCAATCATAAGGCGCTTCTCTTTAGCCGATTGGACGATATGTTTGGGAACGTGTCGGTGACGGGCGATGCGTTTCATCTCCGGATGGTTGGCGTACTTATCCATCAGTTTCTGTTGATAATCGAAGGCCGACTGTTCCCTAAAGGACTTGTGGCCCAACTTCTCGGACGCGAAAGCCTTCCATATCCTGATGTCCATCTCATCGGACGCTGAGATCAGGTATTTGTTGTCTGAAGTCCAGCGCACGGCTGTCAGCCTTTGCATTCGCTTCGTGTGGTAGACGTCGCGACTCCTTCCGGACTCGACACCGAATATACGGATAGTCTTATCATAACTTCCGGACACAAACTCCTTGCCAGTGGGCGAGTAGTCCACGTCAATGACGGCCGACACGTGATCCTTATGGACCTGAAGGGCTGCCTTCAAGTTCCTCATATCGAAAGTATACAAATCGTTGTCTTCATTCGCGGCCGTGAAGACGAACGCTTCCATCGGATTCCACGCGATATTATTGGTCCGCATTTTGAGCACTACTTTGCGCAGAGGATCCGACTTTCTTGTGTCGTATATCTGAATACTGCGATCAGAGGCGGCGCCGACACACAGATCCGTCTCAATTGGATTGAATTTAATGCAATTAACGCTATCAGCGCCCCATCTGTACGACCGTAACGGTTGGGTTCGGCTCTCTTCCCAAAGATCCACTTTTTCGCCACAAGTTATCAGAAATGGTTTATTCCTCTGAATATCCATTCCGTGTATAACTGTCTTCGAGATAAGTGTATTCATGGGCGGAACAGCTGTCGCATCAGTGGTCGTGTCATCGAAGCCATCGAAAGACCACTGTTTGATGGTTTGGTCGTCGACTGAGAAGAAGTACTGTCCGTGAAGTGGGACACAGATGTTGCGGACAATGCCGTTGTGGGCGGCGATGGCTTTCACACACTTCCGGTCGCAGAGGTTCCACACTTTGATCTCTCCATTGGCCGCACCCGACACTAGTGTCGACAAACGGGTCGGATGTTTGGCCAGAGTTTGCACCACATCTGAGTGACCATCGAGTGATCCCATGAATGGTTTGGCAAACATCCGGTCCATTTTCACCGCATTTAGCGCTCTCTTGTATTCGCGGTTTGTCTCAAACGGATGAAGACTTGGGCTATAATTGCGTTCAACTGTTCCCACAATTAAATCATTCATTAATAAGATATTTGTTGACAAAAAACTAATCATCGGATCAGTTAATGGTGACAAACCCTTATGGATGTCGTGTTTGGTTTCCCTCATGTACTGGAAGTGACTCCGACTCAAGACTTTGACTTTCATTGTTATTTGCGGCGATTCTTGTGTCCAAACGATTCAATTAAATGACAATTAAATGACACAAACACTCAACACGTGTTTCATTTGTGTTTGTGTTTTGCATTTAAATTATAGGCACTTCTCACAAATGATATGACATTTACAGTGCGTTCGTAACGTTATTCGTGTTTTTGAATAATTGCTGAAAACCAGGAAAAAGGAGTAAAAATTGAGACAAAAATATACGATTCAGTCATTAGTGGCTGTCATTGCAGTCAAACACGTGTATAGTATACGACATGGACTTAGTGTACACTTCGCTATAGTGAACATGATTTGAGACACTTTGCGATAAAAGTGAATGATTTGTAGCCAAATAAAAGTGGTTTAGTTGTCATATGTGGTGTTTGTAGTGTTGGATATAGTGGTGAATATATGGGTGGATGTGTTGTATGTCGTGATGTTGTGATGCATTCATAACAATATGACATTCAATACAATGAATGAGTGAATGATGTGTTTGTAAGCCATGTCTGTATGCTATGGACTGAATTGAGGCCTAAATTAGGTTTACATGCAATCAAACCATAGCTCTAATGAGAGAGACCTTTAAATCGGTGTAAATATAAGTGTTTTGTTGTGTTATTGTGTGAACGGAAGTGCTCTCCAAGACATCACTGAGTGGTGGCATTGGATGTGTGCACCACTCGTGAGACTGACTGCCTTTGGATAGACTCTTACTTTTAGACAGAATTATCTTATAATGAGTTCATTAGATGTCTTCATGAGTGCTAAGACTGTATATAATGGAGATATGAGTGCATCAGAGATGGTGTGATGACACCCTCGAGGGCACGACTGACCGCTTATTCCCACAGAACTGGTTCTCACAGGAAGTGCTCTCAAAGACTATTATTAGTCTCTCTGTCGCTGTCTTTCCACTCGTCTTATTGTTTCTCACATTAAATACCAGTCTTTCCTCTGAAGCAACAAAACTAATAAAACATTTTATTTAAGAAGTTTTCATTTCATTTGATGTCAAGAAGTGATCAAAACTTTTATGTGTTTTAGTCGTCCAAAAGAAATACATTACTTATTAGTGTTATATTTGTTTGAGATATCTATTCATCTGAATCAGTGATTCCAGTGATGATGTCTTCGATGACCATAACCATGAGAAGCGGTTCCAACGCGTCCACAAGCAATCACTTCTCATCCAACAGTAGTTCAGTGAATGATATGATGTCTTCATTCAATTTAAGTGATTTGACGGCCGAAGAGCAGCAGCTCTTGTCTGAGATCAGGCGCCGAAAGACGGAACTGATGGCTGAGATTCAGCAGTTGAAGGACGAGATCTCGTGCGTCACTCAAGAGATGTCTAAACTGGAAGTGACGGACGAGACAAAAGTGAACACAAAAGAGAAACAGAGATCTATTGGCAAAAAGAGGTTTAATATGGACCCGAAGAAGGGCGTCGAGTATCTCATAAGCAATGGTTTGGTGAACAATACTCCCGAAGCCGTGTCTCAGTTCCTGTTCAAAGGCGAGGGACTCAATAAGACAGCGATTGGCGTCTATTTGGGCGAAAAGATAGACTTCAATCTGAAAGTGTTGGACGCGTTCGTCGAGTTGCATGATTTCACGAATCTGATCCTCGTTCAGGCCTTAAGACAGTTCTTGTGGTCATTCCGATTGCCAGGAGAGGCCCAGAAGATCGACCGAATGATGGAGAAGTTCGCCGCGCGTTACTGTCAACAGAATCCCGGCGTCTTCAGCAACACCGACACCTGTTATGTGCTGTCGTTCTCCATAATTATGTTGAATACAGCGCTTCACAACCCGTCCGTCAAAGACAGGCCGACTGTCGACAAGTTTGTGTCGATGAATAGGGGTATCAATAATGGCGGCGATCTGTCGAAAGAGTTGCTTCAGTCGCTGTACGACAGCATAAAACAGGAACCCTTCAAAATACCCGAAGACGACGGCAACGACTTGATGCACACCTTCTTCAACCCCGACAGAGAGGGGTGGCTATGGAAGCAGGGCGGGCGCTACAAGAGTTGGAAGCGCCGGTGGTTTATACTGAACGACAAGTGCCTGTATTACTTCGAGTACACGACCGATAAGGAGCCCCGGGGTATCATTCCCTTAGAGAACGTACAGATCAGGGAGTTTAGTGAACGCACGTCCAAACCCTACTGCTTTGAACTGTTTTCAGCGTCGGGTCCATCGGAGGTGATTAAGGCCTGTAAGACGGATGCGGACGGAAAGGTGATCGAAGGCCGACATACTGTGTACCGGATGTCTGCGGCCACGGCTGAAGAGAAGGACGAATGGGTGAAAGGCATCAAAACGAGTATAAGTCATAACCCATTCTACGACATGTTGGCCGCCCGTAAGCGTAAGGCTCAGCACCACTGATGCACTACTGATCCATTTCGGGAGCACTAACACTAAGTCACCATTACTTTAATGTTTTATTTATACCTTACAATTAGATTAATTATAACTTATATTTTCTAATTTTTCTATTTAATTCAAACCAATACTGAATTTTGTTTTGAGTTTTTATACCGTATTTATTCTCATTCATTCACACTTATCGACAAATTAATATAAGTTTTGTGTTTCATAGCAATTAATATCATATTACCATATAATCTATTTCACACCATTTGATTAGTTATTGATTGGTTCACTAAATATTTGATTTACGATTTGTTTGTTTGATTAGCACTTAGTCTTATGATTAACGCCTCATTTAATGAAGTAATTCTGAAATAACTATTTTATGGTATTTACGCGAAACATGCAAATCATTGAATTACTTTTGTGACAAATATATCATTAATGAACTCAAAAGTTCTATGACTTAACCGCCGGTCGATTAACACCAATGTTATTGACATTTGAGTACAATTTGCAATGAATTGTTGTATTGAATCGATAAACGATCGCATATTCTGGTCACCAATAGATTGGAGAAAATATTTTAAGAATTTGTTTTAATTTTGTATTTTATTGATTCATAATATTTACATTTTATTGTGAAACACACTTTACTTATAAAATACTGATTCTGTATCTCTTGCGTGCCTTTCAATTGTCTTAAAACCATATAATTATTATATTATGAATTAAAATCAAATCAATTTTTATTTCAATTATTATGTCATTCAAAACCCAATCTCTAATCACTAATACATTTGTTTCAAATTTAATTTAAATTAATTAATACTAATTGAATGGATCACTAGTAGGATCTGATGGCTGGGGGCACTGTATTACACTCGCGGTCCAGTGTCTCATCGATGACAGGTCTGTACCATGTCTTCACTTTGCCGTTCTCTACGACGGCTAATGTGTGTTTACGCCAGTGTTGTTCAAACGGACGCTTCTGTTGGCCCTCCAATGGCTTGGAGTAGTCGTACTCATCCACCCTATCCTTGTAGTCCTCCCGGGCGTGTGCGCCACGACTCTCCTTACGGCGTTCGGCGCCGTTGATAGTCATTAAGGCGTTGAGCATTAGGTTCTGGAGCTCCAGAGTCTCCACTAAATCCGTATTCCATACCAATCCCCTGTCCTTCACCTGTCAATGCATTTCAATACAGAAAGACAATTGAATGCATAGATTAAGCACTCGTTTGAATGTATTTAAAGTTATGACGACTATTGTGACGACAATCTCCTCATAAAAGGCATATTTCTTAATAACTAATTCTGGTTTTACCACAAAATGTGATTCAAAACTAGTTTTTATATGAAAGCCTTTGTGTTGAGTACAGTATTTGACTTAAAGTCAGATCAATAGCTCTAATCGTGATTTGCATCGAAACGAGTGTTTACTTTACCTTAACATCTGAGAGCTGTTCGAAGCACTCGTCGATCTTATCGCAGCCCTCCTTAAGCACATCCCCGGTCCTGAAGACAGCCGCGTGTGTCTGCATATTCCTCTGCATTTTGAGCCTCAAGTCGGCCGTAGAGGTGGACCCGTCGGCGTTCCTCACTCTGTCCAGGTTTGCGACCGACTCTTCGCCACAATTGCTCTTCAGTTCGCGTATACTGTCTCCGGGTTTGTTGATCTCAGCGATGGTCTTAGCGCAGGCGCGACCGAATACCACGATATCGAGCAGGGAGTTGGCGCCCAACCGGTTGGCGCCGTGCACTGAAGCGCAGGCCGACTCGCCAGCCGCGTACAGACCCGGTATCACTACATCGCCCTTTCCCTCACTATATGTAATCACTTGGCCCTTGAAATTGGTGGGAACGCCGCCCATGTTGTAGTGGACGGTCGGCAGCACAGGTATGGGCTCTTTGGTGACGTCGACGCCGGCGAATATCATCGACGTCTCGGATATTCCGGGCAAACGTGTGGCCAACTGTTCGGCCGGCAAGTGATGCAACTGTAAGTACACGTAATCCTTGAGAGGACCGCATCCGCGCCCTTCCCTCATCTCTATAGTCATGGATCGCGAGACCACATCCCGTGAGGCCAAGTCTTTAGCGACCGGTGCGTACCTCTCCATAAAGCGTTCGCCTTCGCTGTTCACCAGAAAGCCTCCCTCTCCTCGACAGCCCTCTGTTATGAGACAACCGGCGCCGTAAATGCCGGTCGGATGGAACTGAACGAACTCCAGGTCCTGACAGGGAAGGCCCGCCCGACACACCATCGCAGTGCCGTCGCCCGTCACCGTATGGGCCGAAGTGCACGAGAAGTAGGCGCGTCCGTAGCCGCCGGTCGCCAGCACTGTGTTCTTGGCCCGGAAGCGATGCAGTGACCCGTCCTCCAGGTTGAGGGCTATGACGCCCACACACTCTCCCCCTTCCATGAGTAGGTCGAGCGCGAAGTACTCGACAAAGT